CTTTGTCATAAACAGGTCAGTAAGCTATTCGGCCGGCGCGGAGGGGGCGGGGGGCAGGCTCGGCATTTCGCGACGTTGCGGCGCGGCGACGGCGGGCGGCGGGGAGTTGGCGGGGAGGGCGGATCTAAGGGACGGGGGGGGATTGGGGCGTGAATCCGTGGACACGTGTGACTGGTGGCCACGTGGTGGCCACGTGGAAACGTGGACACAGGGAAACGTGGGGGCCATGTGCGGCGGTGGATGCGGGGCGGTGGATGCGGGGCGGTGAAGGCTTGGATCCGGCGGCATCTAACTTAATTCCTATACTGTAGTTGGGACGCGGGAAAGAGCGAGTGGTTGGTTGTACAGTATTGGGGGAGGCATGGCAGCTAATGGGGGCGCGCCGCTTGGGAGGGTGCGGAGCGGTATGAGGTGCGGTACAGTATGAGGCGATGTATGAGGCGTGGTTACACGTGGCGAGATGTGGGAAGGCGGGAAGGCTTCGCCCTCGTGCCTTTGCGCTTCCGATTGACGTCAGGCATCACCCAAACGCAACTGTTTAAACCTTAATAGAAACACGGCCTTCCGCCTCTCCTCGCGCTCCCCCTTCGCTACATCCATCCCTGCATCATGACTACCACCACCCCAACCCCCCTTCTCCTGCTTCTCTCCCTCCTGGTCCTCCTCCCGCCGGCCGTCTGCAAGACGACGCGGTCGGACCTGATCGGCGTGTACGTGCTGCACCCGTCCGCGGACCAGCTGGCCGATCCCGCGCTATGCCCCGCGAACATGACCGCCGGCACCTTCCAGTTCGCTGTCTCGGCCTCGCCGCGCCGCATCCCGCAGCCCGAGCGCCTGAACATCGAGATCCCGCACGCGGTCACCACGCTCGCCGGCCGCGCGTGCGACTCGGCCGGCGCGATCGACGCCCTGGAGTCGGGCCACCCGTTCGCGGCGGACGTCGAGGGCATCCTCACGACGTGGGCCCGCCCCGCATGGGCCTCCGAGCGCTTCATGGGCGAGGTCGCAAAGCAGAGCTGGAATATCGGATATGACTTTCTCCCGCGCAGCTGCAGGGACGTCAGCCTCCCCGCCCTCGTGGGCTACCTGTGGTTCGAACCCGGCTGGGATATCGTCGTCGGCGACTCGTTCCAGATGATGGGCGGCACTAAGTACTTGCTGCTCAACTTTATCGGACGCCCCAACTTGGGCTGCGTCTACATCGCCACGGAAACTGGCGGCCCGGATAACCCCGGCCCGGTGTCCGATCCATCCTTGGGGGACGAGGGGGATGCCGATGACACCGATGACGATGACAACGGTGACGGTGACGGTGACGACGGTGACGACGGTGATGATGACGATGGTGATGATGACGATGGTGCTGATGACGATGGTGCCGATGGCGGCGATGACGATAGTGCCGATGACGACGGTGCCGATGATGGCTCTGAAGGAGAGGAAGGGGAAGATGGTGATGCGGATGCCAATGGGGAGGACGCGCCCCAGAACGGCGACGAGAACGATTCCGCACCCGTGGAAGGGGGCGCACCGGAAGAGCCAGAGGATGACGGTCCCGAGGACGGCAACAACCCCGACAGCGCCTTCAACCCGTCGAACCAGGCCCCCACCGGGGAGGAAGACGACGACGGCCCGGCCTGCTTTCCCGCGGACGCCACGGTGCAGCTCAAGGACGGCTCGCATGTCGCCATGCGCGACTTGCGTGCGGGGCACGTCGTGCGTGTCAGTGGCGGCCACTCACATGTGTACTTCTTTTCGCACCGCCAAGAGGAGGAGAGGCATATGTTCGTACGCATACGCACGGAGGGCGGGCACAGCGTCAGGCTGTCCATGGGGCACTACGTGAAGGTCGGGCGGACGCTTGTGGCGGCCGCGGCAGTGCAGGTGGGACACGTGGTTGAGGCTTCCGGGCAACCGGTCAGGGTCGTCGAAGTGGGCATTGAGGCGAGCACCGGCATGTTTGCACCGCATACGATGACGGGAGACGTCGTGGTGGACGGCGTGCTGGTATCGACGTATACCACGGCCGTGCATCCTTTGCTGGCGCATGTGCTGTTGGCGCCAGTGAGGGGGTTGTATCGGATCGGGAAGGTGCAGTGGGTGGACGGTGTTTTGGATCGCGGTGGGGGGTGGGTGAGGTCGGTGCTGCCGCGTGGTGGAATGATTTCTCGCCCGTTGTTTTCGTGGGCATGGTAGAGGTCTAGGGGAATAGGTTGTATAAGATAACTTATTTAGCGCGTGTGGATGCAGGCGGAGCGGGATTTTCGAGCGTGACTAGAGCTGGAATAAAATGGGGTGTTGTTGCATCGGTAGGAGATAGATAGAATTGGATATTTGGATGCGGCGCAAGTGGATAGATTTACATAATTGTCAAATGTGGAAACGGGAGACGGTCTATACAGAGTTAACCGGGGAGTCAAAGTCAGGTTCCTTTGCCGAGACGCGGCATCCCGCATGAATGAGGCTCAAAAACATGCCAAACAGTGCCCAGGAGCCGAGGATGCCGATCGCATTTGTCAGGTACAGCAGGCAAAACGCAACCACAGCAAACACGACCTTCTTCGCGTTGGACGTCAACACGACGGGCCCAACTTTGAGAGCGTCGCGGCTCTGCAGAAACATGAAGACGTAGAGCGCGGCCAAGAGGACGACGCAGAGAAACGACAGCGGGTGCACGAGCACGCTGGCCATGGAGAGCACGAGGAAGCAGAGGAGATAGTTGGGGGAGAAGTAGGTGAGGTTATCCATGAGGCGTTCCTGCAGCTCGGAGGGCGAGGCGGGCGGCACGAACTTCTTGCCATTGAAGAACTCGCCCCACGGCTTGGCCGACGTCCACAGCGCGGAGACGTGGACCTTGGCGTTCTCCGTCGGCGTGGCCAGCGCCGGCACTGACTTGGACAGCGTCGTGGAGAATGTGGCTAGAGAGGCGAGCGATCGCGCAAATGCCGCCGCGCCGCCCCCGCTGGGAGGCGCCGAAGCGGACGGCATCGGGGACGCGGGGGTGGCCATGGCGATGCGTGTGGCCAAAGGGGGCGGTGCGGGAAGTGTGTGAGGGAAGGAAAGGGAAGGGCACGGGCGAAGAATGTCAGCGGCCGATACTGTCGGGGTGCTTGAGCGATTTGAGGTCCTACCAAGTATTTTTGGCCGTTTCATCGGCCCGCAGGCTGTACACGTGTAGTGTACGAGGGCATTTTACACGTTTCATTGTATTGTCATACTATACTTTGCGGATCAGCAAAAGACGATATTCACCGTCGTCCGTTCGCACATGTGCTTCTTTCTATGCTCCTTTCTTTGCTCCTCACCCAATTCTCATCGCCTTCTCCATGCGAACAGAGATTGGACTCGCCATGCAAGAAGACCCTGATGGGTTTGTCCGCACGGTAGAAGCCGCCCCGGATTCTGACTTTGATGATGACGCCTCTGCGCTCGAGTTTGGCAGCGAAGACGGCGATGACGGCGATGACGTAAACCCTGCCAAGCCCTTCTTCGAGCCCGAGAGACCCGCTGGATGGGACTTGTCCGACGCCCGTGCAGAGGCCGCAAAGCCGAGGCCGTTTCAGACTTCCATCGATGAAAAGATAAAGACCCATCAGAAGGGGCTCACAGAGCCGCCAAAGGAAGGCGCGGACGAGGAAAAGGGCGAGCTGCGAAAACGGAAAAGGGGGGGCCCAGAGGCCGTCGCGGACGTCGAAGCGGAAAAGGGCCCCAAGAAGGGAAAGAAGAGACTGCGTAAGGAGCGCGCCGCTGCGAAGAACTTTGTCGAATTGCATCTTTCACGGGCCTTGCAGAAGGCTGTGGAGCAGCTGGAGTGGCATGAGCCTACTCCCATCCAGTCGCGCGCAATTCCCTACATACTGGCGGGGCGTGATATATGCGGAAGCGCCGTCACGGGGTCTGGCAAGACGGGAGCCTTCGTGCTCCCGGTTCTCGAGCGCCTCCTGCAGGCCGGCGTGGACAACGTCACGCGCGTCGTCATGCTGCTGCCCACGCGCGAGCTAGCCGCGCAGTGCCACGCCGTCATCAAAAACCTGGCCAAGTACACCTCGATCCGCGCGGCGCTCGCGGTGGGCGGCCTGTCGAACAAGACGCAGGAAGCTGCGCTACGCACGCGCCCGCACATCCTCGTCGCCACACCCGGCAGGCTGATCGACCACATCCGCAACGCTCACGGCTTCTCGCTCGATGACATCGAGGTCCTCATCATGGATGAGGCTGACCGCTTGTTGGAGATGGGCTTCCAGGCAGAGGTCGAAGAAATCGTCCGCAACACACGTGCAGCAGGGAGACAGACCCTCTTGTTTTCGGCAACCATGACGGATGACTTGAAGGGGCTTATCAAGCTGTCGCTGCAGAATCCGATTAACTTGGCTGTGGATCCCGTTTTTGATGTTGCCACCACGCTCGCACAGGAGTTTGTTAAGCTCAAGCCAGCGTTTGAGAACAGCAAGGACGCTGTGCTTTTCGCACTGGTCAACCGCACGTTCAAGAAGCGTGTAATTGTGTTCTTCCGGCAGAAAATTACGGCTCACCGGTTCAAGATTTTGTTCGGCCTTACAAAGTTGAAGTCTGCAGAGTTACATGGCAATCTCACACAAGCGCAGCGGCTCGCAGCGTTAGATACGTTCCGAGATGGCACGGTTGATTTTCTGCTCTGCACCGATTTGGCAGCGAGGGGCTTGGATATTGCGGGTGTAGAGACGGTGATAAACTATGACCTGCCGGGCGAAGTGAAAGAGTATGTGCACCGGGTGGGGCGCACAGCGCGAGCGGGGAAGCAGGGCCGTGCTTGCAGCATTGTATGCAGCGGAAATAATGATGAACGGAGGCTGCTCAAGGGGATTACAAAGCGCGCTCAAGGCCAGCTGTCAGCACGCATTGTCCCACCATCTGCGATAGGGAAGTGGCGCGCATGGATCGATAGCCTGGAGCCGGCTGCCAAGGCTGTGCTGAAGGAAGAAAAGCAAGAGAAGGAAATGCGACTTGCGGAGATGGAGCTGAGTAAGGCGAGCAACATTCTCAAACATTCGGACGACATTTACAGTCGACCTGCTCGGACATGGTTCCAGAATGAAGAACAGAAGAGGGAAAGCAAGGTCAACGCTCGCATGGCAAAGGGGCTTGGGCCGAGTCTAGAGGAGAAAGTTCAGGCTGAGAAAAAGAAGCAAAAGAAGCTGGCAAGAGAAAGGCAGACCCGCGATCGGGAGAGTGCGGAACTGGATCAGGGCCATTCCAAGCAGCGGGCGGATGCAAGGAATGCGAAGAAGAAGTCGAAACGTGCGAACAAGCGATAATTTACGAGAAAACAGTCAGAGAGAGTGGTTATTCTTCCAGCAAGTAAGCTAAGGCAGGTTTAAGCAATGCGTTTCCGGCCTGAACCACTCACAAAGGGCATATGCAAACGTGGTGTACGAGGGCGTTCTTTTCAGCGTGGTCGTCAGCATCACCACAGCGAAGCATTCGACGACAGCGGTTCGAGCGGATGCGGAATGGTGAACTAGTAACCGGTTAAGAAATTGGTCCTCGGTTGGATATGGCCTGCAAGCAAGGTATGCCGGGAGGCATGTTGGTACGAACTGTCGAGGGACTAAATTTCGAAGGCTAACATGGTGGGCTTGTGCTGCAAGGCTAGTATGAGGGGGCACATTAATTGAAGTCATAACTGGAGAAGACGTGGCCGCCCGGAAGCGAAACTGCGTTGAGGCGGAGCTCTTGATATGGCTGACTCTTTGGGTCGTAGTAATAGCCAAGCATAGAGCCTGTGAATCGATCCATGCAGATGTAATAAAAGCCGGCTATAGTCAACCCACAGTCCTCACCGGGACTGACAAAGAAAACCTCCTTCCACCGCATGAATATGTAGCGGCAGGTGGCCAAGTCAATGTCGTCTCCCCTGTCCTTTTTGACTCGAGCATGCAGACGAGAAAAGCCCACAAACCTCTTCCAGTGATCGACGTCCTGTTCAACATGAGCTTCCCAACGCCCAGTCCAAAAAAAGTAGTTGCGATTATCCACAATCTCTCCCTCCCAAAACGTCACGACCGGAGCCGCAGCCTTGGGTACATCCAAAGCCTCCATCGACCCGGAAATCCTCCCCCGCTGCCAATCGACGGCCTGTATATGCACATTCACACGCCACTCATCAGCCGGCTTAGCCTGATACTGATTCACTGTCTGGCTGCCCGAAAACGTCTGCCCCGGCGCAAGAAACGACGCCGGTGGGAGCGGTATCAAGGGCGTCTTCTTCCCGGCGGGCTCGTCCTCACTCTCCGCGTCGGCAGCGACGCCCATCTCATCGTCCTGTTCCACGCTCTCCGCGTCCTCTTCCTCGGCCTCCTCCTCCGCGGCGGGGTCTCCCTGCAGGGCGTCGGTCTGCGGGAGCATGGCGACATCGGCGGCGGGCGCGGCGCGGTCGTCCGCGGGCGGGCCCGGGGACGACGCGGACGCGGACGCGTCCGGGTCCGGGTCCGGGTCCGGGTCCGGGTGCACGGTGCCAGC